GTTTAATAATAAAAATTTATGTTAAAAATTAATTAAAATTGTTTAAAATTGCAGGCAAATTTGCCTGCAATTTTTTACCATTAAAGGAATAACTAAATATTATTTTATATATATTCACTCCATTTTTTTTAATAAAAATAAAAACTATTTTAATGTTTTAATTCATTTTCCTATAATTATAACTTATATTAATATTATTATTTTTATCATTCAATAAATATTCTTTATAAAAAGATTTATTTTTTTTTTGGCTTGAATATTATATTTATAAAAGTAATCATTCAAATTTTTAATGAACTAGCTAAATTATCAGCTTTCCTAATAAATTTTTTTTTATTTCTATTATTTTATATAATTTACTTTAGATCAAACATTTTTTTAATTAAATAATTTTTTTTTTAAGGTATATAACAAATAAATTATATATTGTTATATCTGATTTGTAACTTAAAGTAAGATAAATATAACCAAGATTATACTTAAAGAATAACAGACAAAGATTCACATAATATCAAAGATTATTCTTAAATAATTTCTTGATATTTCAACAATTGGGACCTTTGCAATAGAAAGGGGGAAAACTGCCAGGAAAATTAATTTTACTTTTATATGCCAAATATGATTTTAGGCTAAAATATGTTCAAATTTAGCATTAACTCATTTTTGATTTTTCCGGCCGTTTCCCCCTTTCTATTGCAAAGGTCCCAATTGCACTGTAGATAAGACTTAGTAAAAATATAAAGATATTTATACATGCTGAATAATTAATATAATGAACTAAACTAAATATATTAAATGAAAATAAAGTTGCCCGTTACACTAGAAATTAAAATGACGCGGTGGGATCTACAAGGATTCTCTAGGTAAAATTATTACCCGATTAAATAAAACTGAATCTATTCCTTAATAAAATTTTTCACTTGAAACATATAAATTTATTACATTTTAATTTAATATTCTATCACATAGTGTCTAATAACTAATCATATAAATAAACAATACATAATTAAAATTATATTAACCACACAAAAACTTTAGATATCAATATAAAATTAACAGTAACTCCACTTGACTTATCTAATTTTAATCCATTTCCTAACAATCCGAATCAAATAACTCAAATCAGACCAAACGGTTGCTCGGAATACTCGTAAGTTATTGCGTATGTTTAGAAAGTGGGAAAGGAAATTTAGAAGATCTCCAGAACCATGGAAATTTCATAGATCTATTTTTTTTTTAGGTGGGTTTTCAATTTATTATCCGCACATGCACGTGTATAAAACCATCCGTGAATAGATCTAATGAGTAGCGCAGGATCGATAATTGACAAAAAAAATAAAAAACATACAATTAATTACTTTGAAGTAAATTGCAATAAATGTCTCCGCACCCACCACAAAACTACTTCACACGCCTAATCTTACATAGAGTCTGTCTTGCACTAGATAGAACTATTTTCTCACCCGGTCAAGACTACTTTGCACCTCAGAAGAATAATTTCGAGATATCACTCACACCTTAACTCCTCCGCCTTCTTATCAGGCCCGGACGGTATTACCGAAAATCAAAGGCTAAAAAACGTTTCCGAAGTACTGTATCAGACAATTTTTTTATAAGACTTAATTCAGCATATCTATTTATGACTTATCACGTGGTGATTGGATGTGGAAGCACTTAAAAATATAAAAAAATATATTGGCTAGTTATAATTAAATTTTCAGTTACAGATTATTATAAAGTTTTAATTTAATTATTATTACTGATTTAATTTAACTCTAGTTAAATGATCGGCTAGTGATCAAAGCGCCGATTGGCTACCCCTCTTTTTTTATTGTTTGCTTTTGTTGCAGCCCACCCACATAATATCATTTTTTTTTTGTCAGAAATGCAGTAGTAAAAAAAATACTCGTAAAAAATAATATTTTTATCACGTCTTTTCTACACGCAATCTTTTTTCATTGCTTTGAAAATTAAGGAAAATAAGCAGATTAGTTGATTAATTTTCAAACAAAAATAAGTCATTTTAAAAAAAAATATTTTTTTTTGCAAACATCATGCATTAAAGAAATATCGCCAGTTCAAAGTTTGCTATATTTATTATAGTTCAGTAAATTTCGTCTTTATTTAATATGGACATATATAAAATTTACGTTAATTAACATGAATATTTGTATCCTAAAAAATAAATTTTATTAATAATTCGAAGTTTTTGTTATTGCGTTCAAAATATTTTCAGAGAAAAGAAACTTCTTGACCAATAGAGATCAAGGGATTTCTATGTATAAATATAAAATTTTAAATTTAGATGAACTTGTCACAAAGTCTCCGCAAAAAACCTCATTAGAACAGCACACGAAATCCTCTTTTCCGTGTAACCATCAGGACATGGTTCGTCGCATTGGATAATTGACCCGCATGCGGAAGCATTCATACAACATCCACTGCCATCTGAACATGCAACCTTGTCTTTGATAAAGACGAAGCGAAATTGTTAAAGACAAAAATGATGAGAACGAATATCAAGATAAGTTTTTCATGATAATGAATCACCAAAACTTTTAATTATTAGGGATGAATATTTGTGAAGGAGTCAATTATGTATACATTCCCATTTTTATATTCATTAAAATCTTTGTTTTTTTTTTGATTTTTGTTATCTATTGATAATGACCCGACAAAACAAATGAATAATATATTTGAATATCTTAAGTAACACGCCAGATTGCACTTATTATTTGCACAAATTAAGTAGATTCATATTGGCGTAAATTTCTAATGAAACATATTTTGGTTGCCCCCAAAACTTGTATCCTCATTAAGCGATACTTTCCATATATTATAATCATGAGACATATTGTACAAGATTTATGTCGTTAAAATATCTTTATTGTAAATGTTTAATTAATCTACATTATTTTGAAAGATAAAAATGGTATATTGCGGTTCAAAGAACAATACATGATAAAAAAGGTGATTGAAAGAAAAATTTGATGGGTTAAAATCAGATACAATTACTTCATGGCGCAATTTCACAATTTACATATATGTATATTTGGATTTCAAAAATTGTTCCATTTTATGCATGTACGACAAAATAACAAAATCCTTAAACATGTTTTTGGGTTCAGGTAGTTTCATAAAGCCTTGGCATTGTAACATCACATGAAAGGTGCAGTTGCTATTTGCTATTGCTACACCTCCTGTTGAATTACTAAAAATATCAAAAAGTTGCTGAGAACGATCGAAGCTAAGAATTCTAGAATTTGGATCTCAATTTCATAATTATAACATTTATTTCTGAACGTAATTTTAACAAATTTGGGAATATTTATTTGTTTAATTAAAATAGATTCTGTCCTACCGATATTTTTTATATTTTTTAGATGAATTATGAAAAAAATAAATTTTTTTTCAAGGATAAAATATGAAAATTAAAAAATTTAAAAATAAATCAATGAATTTGTAGAACAAATAATAGCTAAAAAAAAAAAAATAATAAATAAACAGATTTTTCGTGTCGTGAAAAAAAAAAGTTATAAAAGGGACGTGAAAAAAAAGATTATGCCTTGGAATTTATTTATCTTTTTTTTTTTAAAAAAAAAAATAAAATAAAATAAATAAGATTAGTTATGAAAATCAAGATATGCAAATATTCGATTATTCATCTGACATTTGTTTTATTACTTTTCAATTGGACTTTTGCTGAGATAATCAAGAAACCACATAAAGTTCTCGCAAATGCATTTCATGTTAGACTTACTTCTTCACCCTTCACATCAACCGCTGAACATATTGAAGCCCAACATGCTAATTTTCATAGAGAGTTAAATAAACGTGGGATCGATGTCAAAATTAAACATTCATTCAAACGATATACAAACGTAATTAGCATTGAAACCGATGAAAGCAATGTTAAGAGAATCGTCGAAATCGAGCACGTTGAAAGTGTCGAACCCGTGGTAAGTTAGGAATTAGCATCAATGTCGAAACGTGATTGCACGATGCGCAATAAATTAAAGTCGTTTACAACTTTGCTTTTAGAAAATTTATAACCGGTTTAAACCAAGTAACCCGATCGAAATTAACAAAAAAAAATCGAATAAAGTTTCCGAAACTCATCTTAATGCAACAGTTCTAATTGCTCCTAATAATGACATTAATGCTATTCATGAAATTACTGGTGTCAAGAAGGTTCACGAAATATTAAAACTCTCTGGAAAAGGTGTCAAAGTCGGAATCATTGATACAGGTATTTAGAGTTATCTCTTATGAATGATTTACGAAAACTATATTTCATTTCAATTTATTTAAATCAGGTATCGATTATACACATCCTGCTTTGGGGGGATGTTTTGGACCAGGATGTAGAGTTGCATTTGGGTATAATTTTCTTAATGATACAAACGACCCATATGATAGTTGTGATGGACATGGAACTATTGTAGCAGGAATTATCGGTGGTAATGATCAAAGTGATGACGGACCTGGATATGTAGGTGTAGCACCTGATGTAGTTTTCGGAGTATATAAAGCAATTCCTGTTTTTTGTCCAGAAAGTGATGATGATATCGATGAAAAAGGCGTAATGATAAATGGACAAAAAATTATCGAAATTATAGAAATCTTACTAATGAAGGCTATCACCAAGGCTGTCGATGATGGAATGGATATCATAAATATGTCATTAGTAAGTAAAACATATATATATTTATCTTTATTATTATTAAAAAGGCTTAAGACTATTAAATTTTTTAAAGGGATATGAGGGAGACGATAATAGTCCCCTTGGACATATGATCAGTGAATTGGCTGAAAATAGAGGAATAATATTTATAATCGCATCAGGAAATGAAGGTGAATCTGGCGTATTTGGTAGCATGTTTCCATCGAATGTTCAAAATAGTATTGGTGTAGGTTCTTTCAGAACAGATAAAGTTGTTAATTTTAAAGCTTTTGATTCGAAGAATCCAAACTTTGTCATTAGTAAGTATATATATATTTATCTATTTTAAGTTGCCAATTTCTTCTAAAAAAAATTAATAAATAATAAAAATATTGAATTAAATATTTTACTAATTATGTAGACTATGTTACACAAAGTGCATTGGCATTTTCTTTCCAAAGTGCTAAAGTTAAATTGCTTCCAATGGATAAATGTTTAAATGATTACAAAGAATTTAAGGATGATGTAATCATCATAGATTTTAGACATGGTATACCATGTTTGGATATAATGGTTTATGTAAGTATTTCAAAGTTGTATTATTATTATTATTATTAATTTAATTTTATTTTTAATGAAATAAATGCTATTTTTTAAAAAATAAAATCTTGTTTCTAGTTCAACAACGAAAGCCTTAAACCAATCGGGCGTTTATTTATTCTTCCTGATATCCTTGAAGGATTATTATTGGACTTTGGAAATAATGCAATTATTGATTCGAAACAAGGCGATACTTTAATTCAATATCTTAAAACAAATACAGATTTGGAATTGGATTTTTCTGATAAGTATGGATATATGGAATATAAGTCATATTCCGTAGTTCCTTCAGTATTTTCAAGTTGGGGTTTAAATGAAGAGTTTGATATCAAGGTAAAAACATATCATTTAAAAGCAAATTTTTTAATAACATTTTAAAACAAAAAAATAAAATAAAATTTTTGTAGCCTGAAATATCCGCACCCGGACAAATGATGTTTTCAACCTTCCCAGTAAATGTTGTACCTTATGTGGTACAATCTGGAACAAGTATTGCTTCACCATATATGACAGGCATAGCAGCATTGTATGTTGAAATATTTGGAAAACAACAATCATTCGAACAACTGAAAACTGCACTCATGAATTATGCTGTTCCTAATCTAGATCGCAATAATTTACTAGCTCCAGTTTTTATTCAAGGAGCAGGACTCGTCGACGCTTTTAAAGTTTTGAAAGCAACTAGCTTTGTCTATCCACCAAAAATTAATTTGAATGATACTGTTCACTTTAATGGGATTCAAAAATTAAATGTTTATAATAGCGGAAGAAAAGAGATGAAATATAAATTATCACATTTGCCAGCTCCAAGCTTTAATGGATATAATAATACTCATGAAAGAAATTATTTAAATTTGGAATATTTCACAAATCACGAACAATATGCTAGCGTTGTATTTGATTATGATCAAATTTCTGTACCACCTGGTTCAAATGTTGAAGTCTCTGTAACTTTTACTTTGCCAAAGGAAATACCTAAGGATAGACATTTGTTTTATAGTGGATGGATAGAAATCATTCCTGTAGATGAGAACATGCCGATTATGACCGTTCCTTATGGTAAATTAATTTCTTTGCATATATGTCCATTACTTGGAACATACTAATGATAATTCCTCAACTCTTTTATTTATATAGCTGGGTTAGCTGATGATGCAAGATCGCTTCCATTATTTCAGACACCTTCATTCCCTGCACTTATTAATTCGACTGGTGATATTGTCACCGAAGAGGATCCGATTGAAACATACTCCTTAAAACCTTTTAATGTTACTAATGATTTGTATGATTATCCAACTTTAAAGCTTAATCTTGCGACTCCTACACCAAATATTATTACCGAAATATTGGATGTCAATAAAAAGCTGTTAGGATGGGTTAAAGATTTTACCGGAATTAAATTTCGAAAAAATCCAGTAATATTAGCGGTTTATTGGGATGGAATTATTTATTCTAATCTTGATAATAAAGCAGAACCAGGTACACCCGCTCCAGATGGAAATTATTTTTTTAAAATTAAAGCGCTAAAAATGTATGGTGATATTAATAACGAGAATGATTATGAATCTTGGATTAGTCCTAAATTCAGAATTAATAGAGGTGCATGATGAAAATTTTAATTGATATTAAATGATTTAAAACAAGATGATAAAATCATTATAATATTTTTTGAGGGAGATGAATTTTGATTTATTTATTCAAATTCTTTATTTCTAAAATGGAAGTGACTTGATTTTGTAAATAAAATCTCAATAGCATTTGTATTGTTTGTACTATAATGGTTAAAAATTGCTTGTTATTCCAAATTTTTTTCATTTATTTCGTTAAAAATGATTAATATTACTTTGTCATATATCATATTAATTTTGACAATTTGACATGTCAAAATTGTTAATTCGCAACCGAATTATCACTTCTGTTTAAGAATAATTTTTTTAAACAGATAAGTTATTACAAAGGTAAAACTTTGAAAAAAAAACATTAGGTCGAATAACAACATTCTCAGCTATTTCAAGATGTCCGAACCATATAAAAAACTGACTCAATTTATTATCATTCTTAAAAACTTAAGCTAGTCAACGTTATTAATTTGTATTTTGATAGGTTACATTTTTTTTAATTTATCACACTACCTTTAACTTGCATTAATCGGTTTTCTTACATTTCAACGATATCAACTATAGTAATAAAAGAAGATACATAAACGGAAAAAATGGAGGTGAATGCAACATTGTTCTAACTAGTAAATGTTCGTCCATTGCACGTTTTATATAAAAATTTCAATTCGGTCATTTTCAATAGCCACAAATAAGATGAGCATAATGATACATGGAACAATACAATATGAATTCATTTTTGAACTGTTGGGTATTGCTGTTGTGTTTTGCTTATGATAACAAGTTAATTTTATTCTCACAATAAAAGGGTATATTCATAATTTATATTGCTATATTGCGTAACTTCCAAAAAATTCTCAAGGAGTAAAATTGAGCAATGAAGGGCTGTTCTGTGTGTTTTACGTTAAAGTCCTAAGTCTGCACAATGCATCAATCCACCGAAATGGTCGGCATTTCTGAAATTAATTGACTTAGTAAAAATAATCTCTGCTCATTTGAATCGAATTAAAATGAGTTAATCACGAATTTAAACTAAAATTTAATTAGCTACTAATTGCCTACGATATTCATTTCTCGTAATAGTCATAACAAGTTCCTCACTTGTCTCCATGGATTGTTGGCTTCTTAAATCGCGCTGAGCTTCACATTCTTTTTACTTTTGCTATTTTTACGTTTCTATGATGTTAATTTTAAAATACTAATTTTGTCATAAAAAAATTTTAAACTTTAAAAATTATCTGGAATCAATCGAAATTCTTTATAATAAAATAAAATACAATTTAAAGTACAAAAATCTCCATTTCCTCAATAGTAAAACTATTTATATCTAAAATTTTACTTTCATATTGATCTTGATTGCATGTACCAGAATCATTATTAATAACCAAATCGGAATTACCGAAATTTAGCGCCATATTTTGATAATTCGCTTCATATATTGCATTATTTCCATTTACAACTCGACTAATCGTCAAATTTTTCAAATCATTTCCATTACCTAAGGAAAAAATAAAACTTTCGGTAGTAACAGCCCAGTAATAACTATAACTGTAAGTTTGAGGTTCTCCATAACCATAATTTTTGTAAGGACGACCACAATTATCACAATAACTATCACCACCATAACTATTATCACAATAACCATATAAATCGCCATAAAATAAACCAACATAACTATTATCAAAACAACCAGAATAACCAGAATAAATATTATGAAGACTACAACCACCATGAATATGACTATTATAGTGACCATAAACATTATTATTATAATTAATTTGTTGACGATAATTATAATTCCAACCAAGAGGATTATAACCGCCAATTATAGTTCCATTTTCTTTAGTTTTAATAATTAAAATACATGGTCCTCGTCCATTACATTTACTACGTATAGTATTGATATCAAAGCCATCTCTACTACCACGATAGATAAGATTGAAATAATATTTACTATCAATTGGAATTATCGCATCAGGATCCTTTCTTTGAATCCAGTTTGTGAGGATAGCCGCATGTTTTGAGTTGATAATCATTGAATCAACAGAAATTTTTTTATAACGAGGAACCGATTTAGTTTGATTAGGCTCAGTATTTAACATATGAAATGAAAAAATTTCTTTAAATAGTGCTTTAGGTAACACTTTCTTAAAAGGCCAAATCTTACTATGAAAATCTTTTGAAGAAATGTCGTAGAATCGGATATGTGTAATAAATTGATTCAGAGTATTCTTTAAAGCTATGAAATCTTTTTTATTCCAATTACCTAAATTAGAAATGTTTTTTCCTCTCAATTCTGAAGTTTGAGCAATTCCCCATTTAATAAGAAAATTCCACAATTCAATTTCATCAATTAATAAATCTTCCCTTTTAATTAATTCAAGTAGAATATTTTTTTCTAATGTTGGAAAATCTATTGAATTTAAAAATGGTATAGGATCATTACAGATAAAATTTAAACAATAATCTTGAATTTGTTTACAACTCTCTAGTTGAAAAACTGCATGAAGAGCTTTGACGAGATTTTGTCGCAACCATTTGGCATTATTTTCAATCAACGATTTTTGTACAAATGTAGCCAATTCTTCCATAAGTAATTCTTCAGAAGCTACAAGAAGATCAAGGATATCCGAACCAACTTGTTTGCTCAAATCAAGTATACCAGAATACATAAACCTAATTAAAGTGTATTAATCTTAAAATTCGTGATATCAAATCAAAAATGTTTTTATAATAATTCGAGAACATATTACCTAAGAATCATTTCAAAAACAGTAGAAGAAATATTTGGTATAGTAAATTCGATCATTTTATTCTTTGTAACCAAATCCTGTGAAAGAGCTTTTTTAAAATAAGGGGAACGAGATCTTAAGATATTAGAATGTGCGTGAAATTCCTTAGTATTGGGATTCTCCCCAACTTTGATAAGAATATTGTAATCATCTGCATCTTCAAGCAATTGAGAAAAATTTTGAGATAATCTGGGGAAAAATTCAAAAGCCATTTATAAGAATCTTTTTAATTTTTTGTTCGTGAAATAAATTAAGTTTTTTACGCAACATACTTATTATATTACACTTTCACGCGCAAATCATGTGATTTTATTAGAAAGAATCATTAAATATTACGTAAAAAATTTTCATATTTTATTGAGATCATGACGTAATAATGTTTAAAGGAAAAAAATCATATTATGAGATAATATTGATTATACTATAAATATTACAATTTTATTGATTCATATTAAACAATTATAAAAAGTATTTTCTTGTAACCATGTTATTAATATCCAATTGTATATTTTGTGAAACTTTAATTTCTTGAAATGGTATGCGAAGTTCTGAATTGATGGTGGCGAGTTGGTCTAATAATGTTTTAAATAATATGAATATTTTGATACGCCGCCGATTTTTATATTTGCCTGGTAATTGTAAATCATTATCCAAGTATTGGTTGAATTTATCATAATTTAATATGTTCAGCTTTTTTCACATGTTAAAGTTTTGCCACGTAAGTGGAAAATTTAACCAATCATCCATTAACCAAAAAAAGTGATATTACTATTGTTACAAAGATAAATTAGTAATCTAATTGTTCTATCGTGTTTTATTAGTTCCAGGGCATTGTGTCCCATTTCTGTTTAGTTTAATTTTAAGTTTTGTTAGTATTTAGTTAGACTTTTTGTAGATCATTATGTTTCGAAGACAAAAAGGCCTCCGAACAACTGGTCCTTGTTGAATTTTAAGTATAAAAAAGTGGGATTTTGCTTGAGTAGAAAAGTGTGTTCCCTATGTTCCTTAGATAATAACAATAGATAGTATTAGTATAGATCCCCTTTCCCTTTTATTTGTAACGAAAACATAAGTTTATATTTATAAACGAATGTAATAGCAGAAGGATTTTTAATTATGTACTTTCGGAGTTAATTTTATTAAATGTTTGATCCTATGAAATTACTACAGCCATTAAAAATATCAAAATAAGGGAATATCAGAAAAATTATATTATTTTTAAGATGTATCATAAAAATCCTTCTAAGTATCTCACCCTTTTATACATTTAATTTTAAAAGGACAACTCGCCCAGGGAACAAGTTGCCTAGAGATCGTTTTGGCCAGAGGTCAGTTCGTCCCGTGGTCAACTTTTCCAGTGGTCAATTTGGCCTATGCTGATCTTCAAATCTCAGTTCTTAACTTTATTAAGCAAACAATACATAATTTATTATTAAAATAATTTATACATCACATGATTTAATGGCCATTGTAACAGTATATAATAAATTACGTATCTGATCGTATAGATTGAGGTAATACCTTATTTACGTAGATTTATGTTAGAATTCAATTGTTATAAATAAAATCATTAAATAAAGAAAACCTTCTGCTTACCTTTTCTTTTCTTTATAACCTATAAACGTCTCGAACTGCGTGCAACACTATCATATGCTTAAATATAGCAATTCATTTTTTTCAAATTTTAGCATAACACGAAAATTTAAATTTAGTGGATATCTATTATTGCTACTACTCACAATTGTAAATTTCAACTACTTTTATCTCAAGCAAATAATTTTCTTGTATTCATTTATATCATTTGCATGAATTCAATGCTTTTCCTTTATTGCAAACAACATTATCTAAATATTACGTTGTCCATATATTAGAATATGGAAACATGATGAAGTATTCAATTTCTATGCTTTATCTGTAAAATAAAAGAAAAATTCAAGATTGTATTTTCCGAATAATTTCTTGTGAGTGTTATTCGACAATCATAAATATAATAAGTGATAATAATGGATATTTTTATTACCTTGACCACCGTTTCATCACCTCTTTTTTATAGTCGACAATACAAATCCAAAAATTGAGCTTAAATTCATCATTATAATTAATTAATCATTATGAAAAATCATGGTTAAACGATCTTGTACGCAAATTCATGAATTATCAATTTATTAGTGCTTCCGCATCCAGTAAATTAAAAAATAAAAACTATTTCTTATAAAATTATCATTATGAAAATTTGTTATTTCGCCACGACCGTAATTTTCTATTTTTTTTATTTATGATATAATGTAGCTATGCAAATGCCCTGTATAAGTAAACACAACATTCATTGATCGCATTAGTGCCTTTTCTTCTTTTTCTTCTTTTTCGAATTCTTGCTTTTTTATCTTTACTCACAATAGTTTGTTGTAAATCTTCTAGAAGTAAGCAAAAATATTATTAAATAATTGTACCAAAATTAATAATCTTTTCACATCCATACCACACATACCATACTCGTATAAATTTCCCAAAGATTTTAAAGACCATGCCACATGGGGAGGTTTGATTCTTCGTTGACTCGTCATTAAGAGAATTCCCAAGTGGTAAAAACAATTGATTCATGTCATTATACTCAAATACACGACCGAAGCAATCCAAGATCATTCCGAAATCAAGCTGACCAATGATTATGATATGAATTAAACCATAATCTTTAACGTATTAAATATAGTAGATAAGATTATCATTTTCATCGGTAACTCATAGCTAATGAAGGATGCGATCCTATGTCGGTCTGATTCATTTTCAATCTTATCGACTACCATGAATAAATAGTTGCAATGCGATTCATTAAATCCGACATTTCATGCATGGGTACCTGACTTCCACTTGCCTTGTGGGCTTCCTTGGTATGGCAAGAGTTTGCGAATATATAACGGCACGGTGTTTTTGGGTTTTCTTTTGACCACGCATTGCCCACTAAGGTACCAATTCTGTACAATTTCCCCAACGATGACTGAGTCTTGTGTCGGTTAGGACAAATCTCGAGCTTCACTCCAGCATCACTATCGCTATTAATCTCGAATCTGTCATCTATTTGTTGTATTCCTCGATGTTGATCTTCGTTTTCCCTCATCGGACCGACTTTCCAAACATGTATCTTGAAAACTTGCCTTTTTGTGTTGACAATTGAGGTTTGCTGTTGCTGGACGAGATAGAAGATCCATCTCCACCATTTCCATAACTTGTTTCACCAATCGTTTCTGCATCTTCACCAGATATGAAACTGGTCTATGAACTTTGTATTTTTCTTGGAAGGACGACTGATGTAATACGTCCAAAGCAGGGCTAAGGCTCTCCATTTTGTGATTATAGGAATCGGACGAGTAAATGGTGGAGACCATAATGAGTGAAATTTTGTTTGTTGACTACATAAAATATGTATTTTTATTAAAAAGTAATATACTTGCTTTACTTTTCCATCGAAAACTTGCATGTAAGGTTTTACGAATTCCATTATTATCTCTCTCATTTATATTGTTTAACCAAGTATATGGATTTTGCGAATTAAGATAGAAATCGAAATAATAAATATTTAAACCTTACTTGTTTTGGACTTTTTCCATTGTAGTCGTGGGTGTAACTTGTAACCATGTGGCATTTGCTATTTCTGAATCATATGATATACTTTTTTATACTACTATTACTAAGCAAAACTTAATGAATAAATAATAGTGAAAAAAAAATTGAAACAAAGAATGAAAGTTTTCAGAATTGTACTGCAAAAAATTCTATGGATTTCCGTTTTCCTTTTTCAAAAAATTGTTACTGCAAAGGATAACTATGAATTTGAAATATTCAAGAATCAACATAAAATTCACGCAAATCAATAGCTAATTGTGATATTATTTTTAATTAATAATCCCATTAGATGGACATGTCGAAAACAATTTATCATCAAAATCTATAATAACTGCCCCAGAATATTTTTATAATTTATTTAAAAATTGCAACCTTTCAGATAGAATTAGAAAGTGACAATAAAGGATACAATGCTAGACAGATAATGTGTCAACAGAATTTTGATTATTTAAATTATTACCTGTTGAAATTAACCTGATTGTATAAAAAATCAATAGTGATTATCTACTTTATGAGAAAAAGCTCGGTAAGCACATTAATCTATCACGAATTAACTTATACATAAATTTGGATGTTGTAATTATATATGGTTTATCTTAACAATATTATATTTTATACTAACAACCATTTATCTTTTCTTGTTTTTCCTTATTACCATTTAATGAGTAGATTAAAAGTCACCTCTACAAACTTTAGATTTTGGTGTGAATTAAATAGTCCGATGGATACTACAATCATGAAGACACAATTGAATTTGATTTAAGAACGTTTCTTTCTCATTTTTGGGTAAATAGGTATATGCTGAGAGGAATTACAATATGCCAGTGAAGGGAACCTGAGAGATTATTTAAGGAAATGAAGAAAGATTTAAATCGCAACAATTGAAAGATAAGATTTGAATGTCGTTAGATATCACTAGCGGATTAATATGTTTACATAAAGAAGAAATTATACTCAGACTTGGTAACTGATTTGATGCTAATTACATGGCAATAATTTAAAATGATCCCAAAAAAAATTTTTATAGCATTCAATAAAATATATAAATCGCAGACTTTCAACCGTTATTGTACCTTGGGCACCAGTTAAGTGTTGAGTACCGTCGAGCTAATGTTTTTGGAAGTTAGTTACCTGCGCATCGAGAATATGACCGGCTACTCCGTGAGCAGCAGCGGCATGATTTCCGGCAGTACGGAAAGATTGTCTAAATATTTAGCAGAAATGAATTCTAATTCAAAGGCCGCTGGGATTGGGGATTGGAATGATTGAATGTATCAAAATTTAAAAGAGGTAAAGCGTCAGATGATTTTAGTTGGGACTTATCAGGAATTATCCCAATAAAAGACCGATATTGAAGAAATCATGGAAGGTTAAAGAATTGGAATTAAAATTCAATACAATTGAATTTAAACCAACTTTGCAAAATATAGATGACGATAAAGTGGATAACATAAATTTCTTCGTGCCAATTGGTAATTAATAGTTCGATCGTGATATTTTTGAAAATTTTTACTAACAAGTTATTAAATTAATTAGATGATGATGCAATTACTATCGGACGGACATAATATTTTTTATTTTAATCATATCTAAAGAACATTTCCTATCTCTGACATAATCCACCTTTAATATGATTTGTTGATTGGATAATTCTACCAAGAAGGAAGTAGAGTTGATAAAGATGAAGAGCAAGTTTCAAGTGGTTTTTAAAACGTGCGAAAAGAAGGAGGATAATTATGATAATTACGAAATCGGTAAATATTATTATCGGAGACGTGGAATGGATATTAAAAATCAAATCGAAATAGATAATCAGAAGAGAAAAAAGTTAACAACGAAATATTTATCAATCAAAGAACGAAAGAAATTTTACCAAAAGCAAAAATTAAAGCAAATGATTTTTATATTTTTATTACATCTAAATGATGAAAATTATTAAAACAAATAAAAATTGCATTGAAGCAAAGAAAATTTATTAATTAAATAACTTAAATTTTTAATTTAAATTAATCCAAACACATCTTTTTTAGTTATATAATTGTAATCAAATTGGGACGAAATATCTGCCCGAGAGTTAGCTTTAGAAAAGTTTTGAATTAGTATAATCAAAAAAAAAAAACATCAAAAACAAATAATATCTTAATAAAAATACGCACCAAGACATCGAAATTGTCATCATTATTAAAAACACATTTTTCCTAAAAATATTGTGCGACTAGTCGTGAGGAAGGAAAATAGTCGAAACCTCACAACCCAGTCCGAACGACATTTTCGAAATAGAAAATTTTCATGTTACTATGGTCAGAAAAAAAATAACATCAAAGGAAACCTCAGAAAGAACAAAGACAAAAGTGATTCATTAAAAACTCAATATATATACACACCGGGATACCAATAATAAACTTCTCATCATTCGGAATTCATTTTTTCCAAAAGTCGAAGTAGTCATGAAGGTCCAAAAAAAATCTATAAAATTCCTCTTCGTTATTCGGGTTAAAAATTTTAAACTAATAAAACTGTTTCGTCATGTTTAAAGTTTACTTGTTAATACAAAAGAAATTACCATTATTATCCACGCCCCTAAAATTCGATTTTTAATTGATTCATTCGATTTTGGTAGAACCGAAGGAAATTTTTCTGCAAGATGTAATTTTCTCACATTAATTTACTTTTAAAGGCAATTTCGTGTGCGTATAACAAATTTTATTGAACAAAATATATATTTTTCTAGCTGCCCAGTTTAAAGTTATTAATCAAAGCACTAATGCTGCAAAATGCTATTTGATTAAATTACATAATTATATTCTCTTAAATGCATAATACTGATCGTTTTCAAAAAATATTAATACATACGCGTTAATATCATGTGTGAAAAAACACTAAATAAAATTTTCATATTCATATTCTACAATTTATTTTGAATCGAGATCATCTTTTTACCAAAAATTTCATCAGGGAAAGGAACGCAGGAAAACCCACCATTGACGTGAGACGGGAGAAGTTATTTACACCGCATTTCAGAACGCCAATATTCCTTGTGCCTCTCAATACTCATGATTTCTACCTAATTCTCCACAAAACTTATGAGTGTAATAGACGCACATCTTCTAATATATATTAAATATGAATCATCGCCGTTAATTTAAGTTAATTCTACTTAGAAAAAATTGGTAAAAAATATGTTCTTTTTGATTTATACTATTATATACAGTTTATGTTTTTTTAAAATAAAATAAAAAGGTAATAAAACGGAAAAATGTTTCGCCTTATATAAAGCAAATACATACTTAGCTATATTCATTTTCTAAAATATAATGTTTCATATGTTTATGTTTCGAGTTACCATAAAAAAAAATTTTATATTACTACTTAAAGAAAGCAGAGAAACCACTAATATATTTACTAATTTAGCTTTCTTATTGGAGGTGTCTATCCCTTAATGGAAAATAATTGCATGCATGATTTTTGTTTATTTTTTTTTTTATTTAAAAACAAGGAGCGGAAAGTTTGTAAACATACCTTTACCTTTCCCATCGTGCCTTATCTTTTTAATAAAAAAAAATATCATAGAGAACTGTGCACCATCTTATTCCATAAACTTTGCTTCTAGCAAACTCATATTCTATTACCTCTTGTTGTTCCCTGGAAAATAGAATCCGGCACGGCATGAAAAAATCTTTTCTGTTTGATATTATTTATTCCTAAGCGTAAATAATATTCTGTTCTATTGTTTTCCAGGCTTAGATAACTGTAACTAATTCTTTATCCACTTCTTTTTTCTAGAACTTTATCTTAAATCGATGAAGGATACTTGGAGACGAACTTGTATCATATTTATTAAATGTTCTTCATTTTCCTTATCATAATAAATGACAACTCATATTGACAAGACTAAAAAATGTTTTTATGATGAAACACTTATTTAATGTTTAATATTATTTATTTATTAGAAGAAGAAGAGGCTAATGTAGATGTGGACATATTAGGTATATTCATTTGATTTTCGTATTTTAAATTTATTTTAACTTTCTAATGAAAACAGAAGCAAAATGGGGGGGACCCGCCAGTATTGTTATACTACTCGTGAATGCGGTTTAAGTTCGTAAGGGTCTGCGTTTCCTAGCGGTGGAATTGCTATGTACCTTCCCTTATGTTAATGAAACAATTTTTTGTTAAATTTTGTTTCCCTTAAACTGCGTAATTCGCGAGTAGGTGTTCGTGATGTTCCTTTGGGATACCCCCCATTCCTTGGATCCTTGGCCGGGCCGAATCGATCAAGTAAGTTATCCTATATTTATTTATTATATTTGCTCGTTAGTCTTGTCATATGAGTTGTATTATTGTTCTCATTTAATAAATAAAAAACTGTGTTGATATATAATAAATAAAGTTTCTCATGATTTTAAAATGTTGTGCATCCTTGAAGTATGTCGGTCGTTACTAGAATTCGTGGTCGTTATTAGGATTATCAAAATTATTGAATTTTTGGTCAAAGTCGCATGAATTAGTTACATTCAACCATCTTCTTAGGCTTTGTTTGTGAACTACAAAACTTAGAAAAATAAACGATTCACTTATCGGCCTTTGGAATTAATCTGTTGCGTAACACCGTCATGACTGACTTTAGTATCCCTTAATTTCTTCTTACAAGTTATCATGTATAAACTTGATTTAAGTTATTCAATTTAACTTTTTTAAAAAATTTTTAGTTAAATTTAAGATTTAATTTAGTAAAAAAAATATTATTTTATTTTAAAAAATTTATAACAATTGCATAAAAATATGATTATTAATATTTCTAATTTCGTAATTCACCTGTTTTTTTTTAATATATGAAATGAAATATGAAATTTTTGTTTTTAGTATATGAGATCATAAGTATAATAATTTCTCTCGGTTTATTTAATAAAATTTTCGATAATACTGGCAATATTTTTTTTTTGCATTTCATAACGAAGACATTTTTTATTTTAAATAATTTGCGATATACTGTAATTAGAACTTTATGTACAATACTGTACTGTAAATTAGAAAATGGTATTTTTAAGACGAAGCTTTATAGATTAGGATTTATTACATAAAATGTTTTATGTTGAATAAATTTCATTGATAATAAATCGAGAAATTGCACATTTTTACGACTAAATATTTAATGAAAATTTATTTATTCAAAAAATTGGTCTCAAAATTTTTATTTGCGAAAATTTTTAATCTTTAGAAAATGGCTTGTACTTCTGAAATCAATTTGAATTCTAACAGATCTCTTTTTATCAGTATTATTATTTTTGCATTACCTGAAATATTTCATAATCCAGAATACTTTTTACACTAAGATCTAAAATTTTGTTTGCTTCAGGATATGTATTGGCAATAAAGTTGTTCCTATGTATGTTATTTCCTTGAATATATAAATCACATCCACCACCAAAAGCCGGTCCTATATTTGAAGCTGACGGATAATAAACCGCATACCTTTGATCTTTTACTCTCGAAATATATATTGAATCAAGATCATCTTTTTTTGCGAAAGAAAATAAAAAACTATCTAAAGTTAAGCCCCAATGACCGTCCACTTCATAAGGTTTCCAACTTAATGGATTATAACCACCAATTAATTTACCATTCTCTTGCAATTTTGAAATCATTACAGTTGGACCTTTGTTATCACATAATTCATGAAATTTCTTTGCTTCAAACCCATCTCTACTAGCACGAAAAAGAAGTTTAAATGAATAAGGGATATTTTTAGAACAATAATAGAATTTGTCTTTTTTATCAATCAAGCTTGCAATCATGAAGAAATGACTTTTGTTGATGAGAACTGAATTAAAAGTTAAGTCAATTCTTTGAGGTAAAATTAATGTATCTGGTGGTGTGTCAGGATCGAAATGATGTCCAATTATATTTTTATAAAGCTTCCTTGGAAAGATTGATTCATATTGATCAACGTTTCTCCAAAAAATTTTTGAAGGAATCTGAAACCATCTAATGTGTGGAATCAAATCATGTATAATATTCTTCAATTCTTCAAAATCTTTTGATGTCCATTGAGATACGTTATCAATATCTAATGGAATGGACATTTTTGAAATACCCCACTTGAGAATATAATTCCAAATTTCAATTTCTTCCATTCCAAGATCATCATTTCTTAAAAGAAGGATGAGAAGATCTTTTTCTAACTTCATAAATCTTGGAGATTCAAAAAGAATTTTAGGACTTTCGCAAATAATTTCTATACAAATATTTCTCAAGTTTTCATAAGCTTCATATTGAAATACGGTTTGAAGGATTTCAACGGGTTCATTTCTTAAATATTCAACTTGATTATTAATCAAATAAGGTTGAATATAATCACTTAATTTTTGAAGATTCAATTCATCTATTGCAACCAAAAGTTTCAAAACTTGTGTTCCACTCAGTTTATCTAAATTAACAATCCCAGTATAAATAAATTCTAAAATGACTTGAAAAATTTCAGGTGAAATATTTGGTTTTTTAAAAATTATAATCCCGTTTTCCTTCTTTGCCCATTCCTTTGAAAATGCTGTCTTAAAGTATGTTGACCTTGCTCCTAAAATTAATGAATGTGTAAAATATTCTTTCATACTTTGACCTTCACCGGTTTGAATAATTACGTCATAATTATATCCACTGGAAAGAAGTTGACCAAAATCCTTTGATAAATCTGATAAAAAATTTTCCATCATCGAACGTTAAAAGAACAAAGAATAATAGAAAATTTTGACGATCAGAGAAATTTATAGCCTAGAAAATAAACCGGTTAACTAAAATTTTCAGTACTAAAAAAAATTATTAATTTAGGGACAGAGTTTAAGTTAGAGATTGTAACTGGCCCAAAAATCCTTACCGGTTAATAACCGGTTAAAAAATTCTTTAACCGGTTAATTAACCGGTTAAATTTAACTCAGGCCGGCACTATAAATTTGGGCAAAACTAGCGAAATTTTAATTCTGCCCGAAATTTAAATGTCGGCCATAGTTAACATTAGTTACTTTAACCGGTTAAAAAAAATCTTTAACCGGTCTAGTTTAAGTCGATGATTTTAAAATTTTCCCAGCAAAAAAGCTCGGACACGTGAATTCATATGATTTAATGAGCACGTGATTAAAATTAATTATCACTGAAATCCTATTTGTGACATGACATGTTCTTAAATGTCACTCAGGATTAGTTAAGAGAGTTTCGGATAATTTAAGCGTTGGTTTGGGGTTGATTAAGGGTCATTTTAGGACGTGTCCGGAAGAGTTGAGTTTCAAATCGTAATTCTCGTGATTTTGCAAGAATTAATTATAATGAATCCTTTGACCAAATTATTTAAATCTTTTATTTATTAAAATGTTCTTTCGATGACGTTATAAATTTTCTCATAGTTGCGTTGACTAGTATATTTTTTGACCGAGATATAAATGATAAAAAAACTTACTAATTATTAATAGTCGTTCAACTTTGACCGGCCGTTTAAATTTCGAACACAGCAAGATTCCCATAATAATTACACATAAAAAAGAAAAAGAAAATATATATATGTATAATGGCATATTCATTTTGAATCTAAATTTTACTTTGATATAAATAAATGATTTTTTCGCTTATATTTATTAATTCATCGTCAAATATTCTAATTGTTTTAAAAACGTAAATTTTTAAATTAATTTTTAAATTATCAATTTCTCATTCAAATTTTTTGATATTTGATAAGCCTTTAAGATTTATGTTCTCGTTTTCGTAAAAAATAAATCTAGCATAAATCCTCAACAGTGTTAAATATTCAGTTGACTGTAGAAAAGTATGATTAATTTACAACGTCGTTAGTCGTAAAAAGCTTAATAATAAAAAATTAACCGAGTTTAAAGATCATTATAAATCTCTTAAAAGATATATATTACACTTGTTTTTCTTTCAAATTATTTCCTCATATCATTTCGTATTTGGTTTAACTTTTAATGTTTTTACGTTTTTCATAATTGTTGCTCTTGTAAAAAAAAAAATATTTTCAACGTATTTGTTGAAGTAGCAATAAATAAATAAAAATTAGAATGTACTTTTTTTCTTAGCTTACATTTACATTGTCCAAGAATCATTGTCACAAAAAAGACTATTCTAATTATTAAATGTTAGGTTGAAATCATGTTGGTTATAAACCACAATTCAATATCCTGATCTATGCTTTAATACCATATGATGTCATTCCAAACGTTATAGAACCTTAGTTAACAAATCTATCATGCACTCATTAGTGATGTGACATTGCGAAAATCTTTAAAATCAATACAACGTTATGATGTTGATACTTAACTAATATTACGTAAATGAATAACAGGGAAAAAATTTGATCGGTCATTGCGGTATTGTAAACTTAATTAGTTCTTTTTTTCAATATCCAATTCTTTCATTAATGGAAGAATAAAAGAAATTTTAAGGAAGATAAATGAAGGTTAAAATAATGTAATTTTTATTGATTAAAAGGTTTTGTATAAAACGAGCTCAAATAAAATATAATTCGTAAACAAATGTGAGAACAAATAGAAGGTTAAAAGTGTAGAATAAGTAAAAATTTTATGTCTAATTCTAAGACATACTGTTGTTATACCCAAAACTCTGCCAAAAACCAGGTCGCAGAATTATTCATATAAATATCCTAATCTAATTATATAATGATACTGTTACCTCCTATTTGCGTAAGAGAGGTAATTTATAGATAGTTTTATAGTTTAGTATAGACAATAACAATGGGACAAAAATAGCATGTAAATCGATTTTATCGAATAAAGTAATTAAGTTTTTATTATAAAATAAAGGAAATAGCTTTATTATAAATGATAAAAGAATACAAATAAATGCACTATTACTGCCTCTGCCGGCGCTCTGTAATTGTCCCAAGAGAAAAAAAGAACTATCTAATTACAAAGTTGCTCAAATCCTATCATTAACCAAGAGCGAAACGAAGCTCTTTATATTATAAATTCCTTCCCATGGCTTTGCTACGGCATTCTCTAGAACTTACGGCTTGGATGACGGAATTACCAATTATTTGATCCCTGATGTCAAAAATGGTCATTTTGACATATATCTTTCATCTTGCCAAGGGATCCGTATTGTCCTAAAGGTCCGAAATGTCAATGCCAACAGATCCGCCAGAATTGACATATATTGATCGTGATTCAATTTTGGCGCAGTCAAAACCCACCCGAGGGTGATAATATCAATAAAACTAATAATAAATAATATATGCAAGAATATACATATATCAACGATAAAAATTTGATTTCCACCTGCTTTTTGTAAATAATATACTGTAGGGATGAAACACAAAAAATAGGAATATCTTATTATCTATAGTATGTCAATATTTATACAACACCAGCCTCCTTTTTGTCTTTCATGAGAGCGTCTAAACAATCGACAAGATCTGTCGTATCGTAACGTGCCTCTTTTATCATCCCCACAAGTTTCAAGATGCCATCAACAATAACAAAGAAGCGAAAAGGCCACGAAGCGTACAATCTTAAGAAAGTATCATTCAAAGTATCTGCCAACACTGGAATTTCTAGTTGAGTTTCCCGCACCATCTCTTGTGCAGCAGCTAAACGGTCAGCTAAAGTACGATGTTCTTTAACATCTACGATATTACCAATAGGCCAAACATCACTAGCATGTGCTTCTCGAATTTGAATCATGCGAAAATCTATATGCGTTCGATATCGCTTATATATGTCATTGAGAACATGAGATATGTATCGGAATAAAGGACATGTATAAGAACCTCCGAGAAGAACAATAGGGCGTCCTAATTTATAAAGTGAATGCAATGAAACTGTTATCGATGTACCAGTTGCTGATGATTCTAGAGGAACTAACGGGCAATCGGGTGCCATCATTCCTTCCGTGAGATCTCCAATACGAGCAATGTTATTGCGAACATATAATTGAGTGGTATGAAATGCAGGATCATCTATATGTCGAGGAAAAAATTGTCATAAAACATTCTTGACAGAAACAAATCAAATAGAATAGTTCTTTATCAAATTTTCCTTACCTTGATAAAGTTGCGGAGCACGTCGCATTAATTGTACAGCTTCATCTGAATAGCCAGAATCTTGGACCAACTTATGCTGCATCCTATCTGTGACATCCATCCAGTCCATGCCAAGTGTGGGATCTTTCCCAACTTTATAATATTGTTTTTGTATTTCTGGCGACAATCTTAACCGTTCCTCTTCACGTAATAAAGTCAACATCTCTTCCTTTGTAATTGGAAGTATTGGGGAGATAGTAACTGGAACAATGGAAATCTCTTTTGGAACATCCTTTGAATCCAATGGTTTCATAATTTTCAGAAATTGGTGTTGTATATTATGAAGCAAGTTAGATATTTGGATACAGTCGTGGCACAAGTCATAATCAATGCATTTAGAACATTTATATCTACGAAAAGGAAAATTGAGACAATCAGTAAAGTAAAGTGAATGGATATTTTACAATATTTTTACTAACCTTGCTCCTTTCCATTCACCTTTACCACAAAAGTCACAAATGATGCCAACATGAAATCCATCTTGTAGGTATTCCACAGGTGTTTGCAAGTACTGTGTAAGTGGTGGTAATGCATCGAACTCTTTTCGTCCACTGGTTTCTTGAAACATCCCACCACGCAATCTGGGTACAAGGAGTAACTCGGATTCACATTGGATATTGCACTCCGCTAAAGTGCGACCATCCTCCAGTTGTCTTCCAGCAAAAATTATACGTTGTTCTTGAGAAGGAATGCCTACTCTTTCATGAATCATTTCTTTAACGATATAGACAGCGTCACTTGAATGAACATCTAGAGAAATACCTTGTCCAGTTAACAAAAATACAAAAATTTGAAATATTCCTATATTAAGTTTGAGTACAAGATTTAGTACGGATTCTTTATGGATATTATAATAAGCCAAGGTAAACTCATCCCGCAAAACTCTTTCGGCGAAGAAAATTCGTTGTTGATTAGGGGGAATGCCTTCCTTTTCATGAATCTTTTGTTTAACGACCTCAATGCAGTCACTCGAAAATAATATTAGAGTTATAGTTTTTCCTGCAGGAGTTTTTATATCAAGTTGAATTGATGCGGATTCAATATGTTCTGTTGCCGAAGCAATCGTTGTTGATGATACTGATGACAATGAAAATATATCCAATCTTGCTTCAATTAGGTCTCCTTCCTAAATTCAGAAAAAAAACGTAAAATTATTATCAATGCACAGTATGCATGCATGACTGTCCAGATATTAACGAAGACACAAACTTTGACTCCCAACTCTTTTAGCTTTTCTTTACTATGTATGTTCTTGTCATTGTAAGTAAGGAAATATTTGTGATTTTTATTCTTTACATAACTTTGAAGAGACTCTAACAAAAGCTCCCCAGTAGTATGTGCAGTCACATTTGCTTTGTATATGGAATTTGTAAGAACTTTGATACGGATAGGAAAAATAGGTGGATAGACAAGTAAATGCATTTGTGAGAATTAGTTTGAACGAGAGACGTGATATATCAATCAAGATTTTCATTGATGATGTTCAACAATATAGTTCAATTCCGATTGTTTCAAAAATGACAGTGTTGTGCAGGAATTTTGCTGCGTCTTGCTTAGTGACGGCAATAATTAGATCGTTAGCTTCTAGATAAAATTTATAAATAGATTCGCTTTGTCTTACTTAAGATAGACTTGAGGCGAGTGAGGCATTATGAGTTGGTTTCTCTTCTGCATTTATTAATTTTAAAAAATTCCGATTCCGTTGACCGCAATATATCCGTTCTTAACATGAATTAGAAGGTTTTATTATAGAAGCTTATGCAGTAATTCTCCTGCTTATATTTATTTTCCTGGGATCATGTTGCGTTCATGAACGTTACAATAACCATCTGCGACGATTAAATAAATAAAAATTCAGACGCCGCTTCTTCGATCCATTCTATATATCAACACAAGCGTTTCTGATTTACTTTAATTTATTGTTAATTTATATAATTTCATTTTTTTTAACATAATTCATTAATGAACACAATTAGAAAGTAAGCTTTGTAGAAGTATAATTGAAAGGATAGCTTTATCTGCTCAGTAAATTTATCGGTTCGTTGATTATACTTTTTATGCTATCTGCTCGAAAAAAAAAAGAAATTAATATCTTTTGAATCCAGCTTTTTGCTGCCTGCACAGATTATCAAATTGAGGTATAGAAAATCATCAAAAATAAAAAAATTGTTTTCAATGTCTTTATCAATAGCTATTATTCCGTTTCGCTTTAGTTAAAAAATTTTCAACAAAAAGGTTTGCTTATCGAATTTATAATTAAATGGCCCTTTCTAGTATACCAATTGCGATACAACTGACCAAGATTTCTATTTATTCCGCAGCAACAATTTTGAATATTTCTAACTAATATAATATAAAAATAACTTTGTCCGGTAATATTTTGTTTTTACACAAATCATTCATTTTAGATTAGTTCCAAAAAAATAATAAAAATACAGAAATTGATGTATATTTGTGGCGCAGGCAATGGAAATCAATCTTTAGGACTAAAGATTTTCAGTTTTAACGTTTAACTCAATTTCATTATTTTCCGCTTTTCTATACAAAATATGACTGAACATTTGTGGAAGAAACAGAAAGAAAAGATTAATACTCCGGTATTCTAGAGATGGACACGCATTTGCCGATCATTTTATTAATTGGAACTTTAAAACTTCGAACAAACCTTTAGCAATCAATTTGGGCGAATTATAGCAAACATTATATTTATATTTAGATAGTATAGAAGGTAATATAAAAGGTGTAAAGTAAAAAAATGATATTAACGCAATAGTTAGCTTGGAGCAATACTTTTTTTGATCATCTGCAAATTATCATTGAAGTTTCGGGCGAAACTTGAAATTTTTAATTTTTAGAATATATTAAGAATCAATACCGTAATAATCAAAAAAAAGATTAGGTAATTACAGAGTTGTCATTAAACCAAATCATTTTTATAAATTAAAAATGTCAAATATTATTATAAAAATAAAATTATTTTAACATGTTTTTATGTTAATTGCAGAAAGTTGCTTCTAATAAAATTTACACAATTCTAATTGGATATTTGTAAAAAATTATTATATTATTTTTCTTTATTATTATAAAATAAAGATATATGTGAAAATTCAGTATATATTATTATGTAGGTGCAGAAATTTCTAATAGGATTACATTATTTAGGGTTTTTTTTATGTGATTATGTTTAATAAGAATGACATTCATTTTAATATAACCTTCTTCTTAACTATATACTTCTATGCACGCTCGAAATTATGTTGTAATCCGGATTTAACAACGGTTTCCGAAACCCGATCCTTAATAATAAATAAACGTAAATGTGAACATTTTTATCGGGAAATGAATTTTATACATTAGAAAAACCGTTCCTAAGAATTAACACAGTCGGCGTTTGAACTCAGTTTTATAATTAGATTAAGTTTCTATTATAAAAGAATATTTAAAATAAAATTATTTGTTTTAAATTTAAAAATGATAATATGACGATCGCTATGTCATTAAATTCGGTTGTGGCTAGTATCACGGACATACATTCAATACTTCTCGAAAAGTCCTGCTCCGTATATAACACGACCGAATTTTTGTTGATCTGTAGATGATCGACTAACTAATCTGAAATTATAAATTTTTTATATTGATCTACGTATTACTCCCTTATTATTTTTATTTAATTTATTTGTGTAAAATAATACTACTTTTTTCTCTCTCTAACTTCGCAATAACTATGATTAATTTAATATATATTATAATATTATTTAATTTCTTCTTGGGTTATGAAGTTGAATCCTTCAGTCCTGAAGCACGCTATGTTCATTCCTCTGTCCTTGTGGGAAGTCGAATTTATTTTTTTGGTGGAGAAAAAGTTGATTCAGAGCCTGTTAACGAAGTTTTTTATCTTGACGTATCACAAGAGTTTCATATTGCATCTGCACCATGGACAGACCTTACAGCATCCGCGGCCATCCCTTTTCTCAGTTCTTGGGCTACAGTAACGACTAGAGAAGTTAACAATAATCAAATAATCTATCTATTTGGTGGATATATGCTTGATCCTACTACCAGCAAAGATTCATTTACATCAATTATACATACTTTTAATACAACTTCTATTCAATGGAGTACACCTCAAATTCAGGGAACTGTTCCGCAAAGACGAAGAAACATCGATTCGGTTCTTGATGATTCAGGAAACATGTATATTTTTGGCGGTTATTACGTTGAACATACCGAACCGTTACAAGATATGTTTAATGATATGATTATCATTAATACAAATACTTTATCGATTTCACCTGGTTCATCGCAAAATGGGCCCAGTCAACGTTGTGCTTATACTGCAACTTTGTTGCCAAATGGTACAATTGTATATATTGGAGGATATAAAACACCTACAAATGGTGAAAGTCCGGTAGTGAATATCACTGAAATCTATCTTTATGATACTAAACTTGATACATGGTCATTAACGGTAAGTTATCAAATTATCATTGACGAATCGAGGAAATTGATATTTATCTATTTTTTTATATATCATTGTAGTGGGCGGATAATATAAATTCAATAGAATCTCGTTATTTACATACTGCTGTATTAGGTAGGTAAAAAGTTTATATCACTCGTGTCTCAATTTCTACGATCCATGAGTATATTATTTTATTTATTTATTTGAAATTTAAATTAATGTGATTTATTAATTTCAATTCCTTAAGCGTTTGATGACGGAATTATAATTTATGGTGGAGTAAAAGATGCATTAGGATATCAATATATTAAAGTTGCCCCGGACTTTGCTGTTTTAAATACAAGTACGTTTGAATGGATTGTTCCACAAGTCTCGTCAAAAGCTGGTAGTATACCTTCGCTAACAGGCCATTCAGCAAATTTAGTAGGAAATTATATGGTGATAGCATTTGGTAACTATAATTCTTCATTTTTTTTAAAAAAAAGAGGTAAAAAAATTCCGCTTAAATTAAAAACTTTAATCTTTATTATATTATATTTTAGGAAATATTACTAGGCCAGATGCTCCTACCACGGAAAGAAATCCCAAAATTTATTTAATGGATACAAGAAGTTATACTTGGATCGACACATTTAATCCCAAAAGTTTACATCAAAATCAAAATCATACAAAGATAATTATAATTGTGACATTATGTGGCGTTGCAGGTGTCTCGATCATAATTATAATTGGACTTTTAATTTATAAACGTAATAAAAAAAGGGAAGGCATCCTTTTAATTTATGGTTCTGAAAGGAGTGATGAAATCCTTAAAATTTCTGGTACAGAGAGTGAATCCGAATATATTGAGAAATCACGAAATTCGAAGATTATTAAATAAATTTCACTTAAAATAATTTTGTGGCGCATTCAGTAAATCCAAAACTATGATGATAGAAACTATAATGTAAGAAACTTAAATAAATAAGTTTGAAGTACTAAGTAATTAAACAGTTAATTAACAATAACTTAAAATATCAAAGAACAAATTTAAGTTTTTATCATGATATAGTTCATTTAGTTATTGATCAAGGATTTTTATTAATGAAAACAAATAAATGCTTTATGGGTCCTTTTATATTATTCTAAATACTTACAATTTATCTGTTTTAACTAATTTAATATGTATTAAATGATATAATAAAAAAATCAATTAAAAATTAAGTAGAGGTTGGACTCGCACCTGTGTAACTCAAGTAAACTTGAGTCCATTAAATAGTAAATTATAATTTTTTTTAAAGAAAAGGAGTGTAACAAATTTTTATATTAACATTTTTTTCATAGTTTGATAAATACTAACTAGAAGTTGCGATATGCGGGGGACTTCCCCATTAAGTGTCAGGTTAAATAAATATTTCATGTTTCATATATATTATAAAATCAATAATATTTGTATCTACATAAATATTTTGTTGCATTTGAATAATTTAATAAATTTTGAAATAGGAGAGTTTTTCAGTGAATATTTTATTAGATTAAATTTTTTTATTAAAATGATTATTTAAATATATACTATTTACAAAGGTAAATAAGTATTTGATTTTTGTTCTAATCATTCATATTCTTTAAGAATTGATTTATCTGTAATAAATGCTGAAGGATGTAATAAAACGATATGCACAATACGAGCATCAGCTTAATGCAATATAAGCTTAACCAGCAGAAAAAATTTCTTGATCAAAATATAAAGATATTTAGGTAAAGTTAAGCCTTGTGTTTTATGCACTGTAAGAACAAAGGCAATCTGCAAGAGAAATTGACACCTATTTGATGGTTTTCCATCAATCAGAAATGTAAATATTTCTTTTTTAATTCCAATATTGATAATCCTACCTAAAGATAGAGCTGTAATTAATTTTAAAATTTTTCTGATTTGCAATTGAGTTACAACTCTTTGAGTTGCAACTATTTATGAATTTTTATATTAAAATAAATTTTACAAGAAGTTGCACTTACTGAATTGCAACTTCTTGATTAAAATACCATCTTTAATTCCAACCATATACTAAAAGTGATTCTTATTTGCAAAGGATCTAAACTAATATCTAATATAATGCTAATAGTACTATTACATATATTATATTCAATAAATTATTTTTTAGATATATTATTTAAGCACCTTATTGCAAATATAGATGATTCAGAAAATTAGTTTTTTCTTAAATAATTTTTGGGATTCATCTGGATTAAATTGTTTTCTATTGATAAAATCAATGGTTGAACTAATTAAAAACTTATCATTATTTACTAGTAGTATATTGCAGAACATATTGTTATGCGATCAGCAATTAATTTGTATTAGGGATACTAATAGTTACAGTCATAACTAATATTAGTCAGTCAAAGATTTCTGACTGATCAGTTAACCAATTAATTTTAACTGATTTTGACTGACTGGTTGACCAAACATTTTTTAATTAGTAATCAAGAAATCTTTGCATTTAATTAACAATCATTTTAGTTATGTAATTATTTATAAATAAAAATTTTTAATTTATTTTTTAAAAAAGTTCAAAGTAAAATTAATATGCATATTGAGTTAACCTAAAAAAATAAGTAAATAAATAAATAAAATTCAGAATTTTAGCAAATACCATGTTAGTATTATTTAAAGTTTAAATTCAAATTAACAATCAAGAATTTTAAATTAAATTATTATTATATAGGCTAGTCAACTAGTCAATATAAATGATCAGTCAATAAAAGGCCTCTGACTGACTATTGACTGATTGTTACCATGATACTTGTTATATTAAGGGTAACATTAAGTGGATTTCAATAATCAAAGGATTTATTTTTTGATATAAAGTAATCTATATATTTAATAATATATTACCTAAACTAATTTCTTGTAAGATATTATAATCTTATTTGTCTTGATTTTATCTTTAAAATTGTCTTAAGAATAAGTGATAAGATAACTTCTATTCTGATGATTTGTATACAGGTAATCTAATTATAGGAGATAATTAAGTTAAATCGTTAACTACTATTATGTTTAATCCTTCATATGTGATTGTTTACTATTTAATAACTGAAATAAAACTGAAAAGTCTTTTGATACTATTAAAACTATATTAATAATTATAATATACCTTTTAAAAACATAAAATATTTGATATCATAAAAGCTAAAATTTGTAACCACTTAGTTTTTAATAAATTATAATGCTATGTGAATTGTTTTTTCTTGAATATTTATTGCAATAATTCCTATTAGAGCTAAAAGTAAATAATTTGATTTTTTCTTTTATAAATCATTTATAATTAAATTAATTATAAATAATTTTCAGTATCAGCTGATACTGTTATGAAAAAATATGGATTTTGGTTTTTTTATTATATCAGACCTAAGATATTACAAATAGTTAAAATTACATTTAGTTGATCATTTAAAAGGTTTAGTATATTAGTTTAAGGAATGATTAAAGGATTAATTTGCAAAGAATATAGTTAAATATTAATTAGTATAAATACAGAATCAGGAATAAAACATTTAGATTATTAATTAAAGTATTTAATAATTAATTAAATTGAGAATCTAACTTCAATTATTATATATGTAAATATTCTTGAATTATTTGAAAGGCGGTCAGTAAAAAAGGGTAATCTAAATTTTAGTCAAAATTTATATTATTAGACCATTTGGCTAATCTTGATAATGTGCACAAATTGGCTTAATAATAAAAATTAACAAAAATTTTTGATTTCCCCCTTTTCTACTGACCGCCTTCCATTTGTTGAATAGATTCATTTAATTTAGAATATTTGTTTAGCCAATATCACAATAAGTTGCAAAGTTTACAAGTAATTCTTCTTTACTTATACAGGGAGTTTCTAACAATAATTTTTGATAAAAGTATAACTGTTGTCAACGTCTGAAATCAACCTTACTGCGCCGATCATTGATGACCTATGGAATGACGACGTAATAAGTACTGTGC